CATAAAAAATCCGAATTAGAGAAGAAAATCCTTAATTATTCTGAAATCCTTCTAATAACTTGCTTAAATCCATAATAATATGCTTGATTTCAAAAATAATATGAAGATCATATAATCCAAAACATTCAGAATTTCAAAAAACTTCAATTTCTCAAAAATTCAACAATTGAGAGGCTCTGGTACCACTTGATAAAAAATATAAAAGAGATTATCGATCCAAAACATTATCAAACCCAAAAATTCACAAACCCTTTTCATACATACAAATCATCCACGTTGAAATCAATGAGAATAACTAAATAAAAGCGCAAGCGTACCTTGATCCATATGTTTGATTGTTTACCTGGATGAGTTATGATCTTCCAATTTGATTTGTGATCTTCTTTCAATTTCAATCTCTATTGATGGGGATGTAAAGAATCTCTAGAAGAACACAACAAATTGAGAACCATGACCCCATATAACCACAAGACAATGAATGGTCATTATATTTCATTCGTTTCAAATCGATCCCTCATCAATCCAAAACAAACATCCGGTCTCTACACTTCAATTCCATGAAACGTAATACCCATTAGTCAAAATTCATCTTTAGTGGATCACTTTAAATTGACTAATATCCTATAAATAATAGCACCACACATTTTAATATATAACGTGTGGCCCCAAATATGATGAAATTATCCAACAGTTTTAATCCCAACCAAGAACCAGTGCCTTTTACTCTTCACTATTATGCAAATGTAATCTTTATCAAGTTTGCATAGAAAGGAAGAAGAAATAATGTTTTGAACGTCGTTTGAATTGGCATAAATGTTCCCATCGGTGAGTGCATGTAACATTGGGGTGCTAACAATAAGCCCTCCACGAGTCAATTCAGCTCCATATCACACATTACACAACTAAACGATGGATCCAATACTTACATTAGGAAAGAGAAATTTCAACATAAATATAACAACACAGCCAAGTAAATTTCTAGACTTGGGGTGATTAGAACTGCATTTTTGCTTCAACATCAACACTGGAATTCAACCATAAAGTCAAGACTTCAAGTAACTACAGAATGAATCGGTATCGATAATTAAACAAGCATGACATTTCAACTTTATTAAAAAAAAAGAAAAAAGTGGTAAAAAGAAATGAAGACGACTACAATCTGTAAAAGAGGGAAAAAAGAAAGGGGGGGGGGGGGGGGGGGGGGGGGGGGGGGGGGGGGGGGGGGGGGGGGGGGGGGGGGGGGGGGGGGGGGGNAGGATACAAGGTTCAAAGAAACACAACATTTCAACTTGAAAAATGAAAATGATAAATCAAGATCTGTTAAATAATTTACTGCAATCTATAATGGCGTTTTTCTAGCTGCACCTCATGTCTAGTCATGAAAGATGCTGATTTTGGAGCACTTGATTCAAGTATGTTAAGCAGTTACCATTGTCATGTAAGATCACGAACAAGACAAATAGAAAGAGTGAGCATCAAACATGTCTGTCAGGCAGATTCTTCAAGATAAATAGCTGACAGAAGCTAAATAGTAACAAAATTTTAAGATAATCATAATCTTCTTCGGCCTATTGTTCTTGATTACAGCCTCCTTTCAGAAAACAATTATATTCATGAAAATTACTGTAAAAACACTATATTTTATTGGTTGTCATTATTATATAGAAGAATGTAGGACTCGGAATAAAATTGAAATATTTCTTCAAACAATTTTATAGAGTTTATAGATTATTAGAGCATGTCTAGCTCCACCCGGTTATCTCCAGCCCCGTTCATTGCACTTCTCTCATCTCAAATCATGGAAAAACAATCTGCCATCCTCGACACCACTGCCCACTAAATACCCCATGTCGAGAGCCCTATTCTACTCTCTCCTTTTTGGCTGACCTCCTTGTATACAAATAAAAGTGTTGAGCTGCATATTTGGTATAATGGTGTTACCTAACAAAACTTCTGTGCAACTCACTCCCCGTGTACAAGTATACTCATCAGTAAGAACCAACAAAGTCAATCCAATATCCAAGCAGATATTTATCAAGAGCTTCCACCTTGTGTACATATAAAAACAGAGGGATAGGAGTGGTTCATAACTTGAAAAAAAAGAACCACATTTCATCTACAAATTAAGTCTCCATGATCACCTCCATCTCATCTCATCACAAGGTAGCTTTTCTTTGAGATATAATAAGATGCAAATTCTACTACACAGCAAAAAAAATTTACAAGGGTGTTGGAGAAAGCATTCGCCAAGGATGAAATTTCCTGATCCTCAGAGCCAGCTTCTGAAAGAGTTTGCGGAACAAAGAAATTCTAGTAGTGGAAAATTAAGCCTAACAAGAAAGGGAAAACATCAACTCAAATATGCATATCAATTCAGTTGCTATCACGCACATATTCTCCAAAATACACCAACTCCTCAAATTATCTTCCTACACTTGTAACTGGTAGAAGATCGTTTCTTCTTGAACATATCCATGTAAATCTCAAATACAAATTCAAAACCAGAGTAAGAATAATCCAGCAAGATTTCCAAACAAACAGTAGTCCATAAAAATCTTACTGCAAAATAATTATTATAAGAAACTTTGCAGTTTCATCAGTTGATCTAAAATGTGCACATAGATTAGCCAGATGTTCCAACAAGCAAGATCTCAAAAAGGAAGTCATCTCCACCTGATAAATTTAGTCCAGAGCTGTCACAAAACGCCAATGCCCTCTTGTAGTAGCTCACTGATGAAGATAGCATAATTGTTGAAATCCATTCCAAACATATGCTCTTTTTTTTTTCCCTTCCCGAAATCCAAAAAATACACACTTATTGTAGGCATAAATTTAAGAAATGTTGACTTAATTTCTTAAAGGAATTATTGTTTTAAGGTGATGAAATTTACCCATTTTTCTAGTTTGTAACTTTCCATTCTGGATAGGAATGTTTACACAAATGGGAGTAATCTTGTGCAGTAATTCACATTGATCTCTCTCTTCTACCATTCTACATCAATTTTTGTTTAGAGTCTATTCTTCCTTCCAAAAAAAATAAAAAAAATAATAAAATAATAAAAAGAAGAAGAGCTCCTGCAGCGTCCCCCTATTTTCTTTGTTGCTTCCCCAGTCACAGGTTGTCTTTTGCTTTCTTCTACCATCTAATTCCTACTACCCCTTTCAAAAAAAAAAAAAAAAAAGGAATACTGAGAAAAAGAGGAAAACAAATTGATGACAGCTCAACAAACAATGTTACAGTCCATTCCAATTTTGCAAGCTAAGACACATTTTTGTGCATTTTTGTGCGATTCATCTATCAATCAAATTTGATCTGTCAGCCACTAATGATGTCAACCCAATTATCGCTCAGCCTACTGATGCCACCCATGAATGAATGCACTATGTACCATCACAGAGATTTGAGCAATCAAGCGCCTCCACAGATTTGTATTTCCAGCCCTACAATTTTTTACCATCCTAAATTATCTACACATCACTAACCTCCAACAATCACCAGAAACAACCCACATGCCACCACACAACGGTCGTTGTCCTGAAACTTACTTAAACAACACTATACGTCTTGAATGACTGCAAGCAGACTTTGACTCACACGGAACCGATCTTCAAAACACCAGTGAGCAACTAAACATTGCCTCCCATTTTGCATCAATACTACACATGTGACACTTCTAGTCTTCCTGCCAAGTCATTATGGCCTGTTCTCTTGTCCATAACTTTCTCCAACTGGTAAGGCTCGCTCGAGACTTTTCACAGGTCAAATTGGTGGGTAAAATTTTCAGGTGTCATCATGTTCCAATTCTGTCATGGCCTTTGCCATTCATTGTTTTTTCAGCCTCTCTATGTAAATTTCCTTACTAAAAACATGTACATGCAGTCTCTCTAATAATTATTATCATGTTGCATAGGCCAAGCCTATGTAGATCATGTTTTTTAGAGTAAAAGTTGAGATAAAACAAAAGACTACAATAAACAGGGTTAGTGAGAATTAAACATCATGTTGAGGTGCATCATAAGCATAAAGAGTTCAAAGAAGATGAAAACTATATGACTCATATTTCTCTTGATCATCATCTAACATATGCAATTAGAAAATCTCATGCCCAACCAATGGAACCATTTCAACTGATTTGAAGGCTTGGATCTAATGCTTATTTGTATGACTTGTCATCAAACTTAACTCTTTAAGTCTCTTCTTCAATGAGGCAGATTTATTTCTTTATTCGGGCACATTTTGTGCCTTAAATGTTGACTTCATCTATTTCAGTAAGACAACATTATGTTCCCATTCTTTGTGCTCCTTCTACTTACTCAAAGCCAAATTATGTCATCAGATGTTTTCTTTGTTCACTTTTCATCTTTAACGTTCCACAACACCCTTATTGTTTCTTATCAAAGATGTAGCCTGTAAAATAGAACTAGGTTATCCATCATTTGCGAAAAGAAGAAACATACCTTCTAAAAGATCCATTTTCAACACTAAACCAAATTATTTCGCACATATAGAGTAAGTATCCACCATATAAATACGAAATACGAATTCTGAAGTTACTTTATCATATTAAACGACTAAAATTTTAAATGAAAACATCAACCCATGGACAAACATTAATTATATCGATCCAAAATAATTCAATCCATAAAGAAATCAAAATTAGATATCATAAATGACTGTTCAGAAAACACTGAAAAAACTACCAAAAGTAAACAATCCCATTACGTAAAAAAAATAGTTCTTCAAATTCAAAAAGATAAATAAACTAGTACAGGTGCAATTTATAGTTTCCCTTCACTGTCACTAAGATTCATTTACAGAACAAAACACTGTTCAACCAGGGAATCTTCATCTCTTTTCCACTATGTAATACACTAGTCATTTTCCCTATAATCTCCCCAAATCATGTACATGTGCAAATTACAGTTTTCCAAATGAAAATGCTAAAGTAAAAAAAAAAAAAATACTTATGAAACTTACCTTTCAGATGTGGTGAAATTCTTTAGATATTCTTCCACCTTGGGCTTGGAACAGGCAGTGTTGGCGATAAAGGAAGCTGTGGAAACCCCAATTGACCTGTCGGCGAAAATAAGCTCGGCGATAGCATAGCGTATGGAGATCTCGGTGATGGCACACATCCAAATGGCAGCGGAGACAGAGGAAGAGTTGGAAATGACAGTGGTGAGGCAGTAGAAGATGACGCCGGTGGTGCCTGCTGCGGCTGTGTGAGGCTGTTCCACCGCGGCAAAGCTCCAGAAAAAGATGAGATTGAGCTCTGGCGAAACCGCATATAGGCGGAGATCGGGGACTCCGCCGCCGCGAGCACAGCCGGAAGCGGTGGAAGCGGGGAGAACGGTTGTGCAGCCCGTTGACTTCCGGCTAACCCATCCTTTTGGGCCAGGTCAGCACTGGAAGTCGGGTCCTGCGCCAGAGGCGGCGGGCGGTTGCTAATCTGAGCCAAAGGCGGGGGACGGATCCTCTGAAGCCGGGAGCTCGGTGGCCTCGATTGGTTTACCGGTGGGGGGTGCTCGTGGGCCGGAGAGCCAGTGAGCTTCTGAACAACGTTGCGGAAGTCATTCTTGTTAATATTGTAGACAGGCGGCTGCTGCAGATTGTTCTGTTGCGGCTGTGATTGGGGATTTTGACTGTTTTTCTCAAAAATAGGGATATTAGGAGGAGTTGGAGGAAGATGCTTTCTAATGGGTTTGGAGATCTTATGTGACATTTTGTTCACATTGTTGAGGCGCACATCCCTGCCGGCGTCACTGCTTCCTCCGTCGCCGCCGCTTGTGGTGTTCACAGTAGAGTCAGAATTAGAGGCTTTATCAATCTCCATATGACTCTCTCTCTCGATCTTTCTATCCCTATTTGAGTCCGTGGCTATATATATTTATGCGAGTCTGCGTGTATCTTACTCGGAGATTCGGACAGTCAGCGTCGGTAACTGAAGTAGTGTCGTAGGGAGTAGGGGAAAGGGAAAAGGAAAATTGCTGAAATAATGCCCAACCTATCGAATTTGTGACAAACTCATCGCACTTTTTTTTTGTGGAAATTACACACAACCCTATGTTTCAAGATCCAAATTCAAAAATCAGGTGGAACGTTTCATTGTACAAAAATCAGATGTTTTATTAAATTTTTTTTTGAAAAGTATTAAATATTAAACATTAATTATACCATTTTTCCTAATTTTAATTTCATCCCAGCAAACCCGTCACTTCATCTCCATTATTCTCTCTCTCTCTACCTTCCCCAAGCCCTAGCTCATCCGGCCCTGCACCCACTCCTCGTCCGGCACAGGAGCCACCACCCAATCAGCGGCTCAAGGCGGCAGACGCAGCAGAGACATACCGTCTTCTCCTCTCCATCTCCCTCTCTCTCCTGTCCTCTACCTTCCCCAACCCTAGCTATTTCGGCGCCGCACCCAACCCCTCATTCTGCACCAGAACCACCATCATTCAGCGGCGCAAGGTGGCGCCTCATCGACAGATCCATTCTTCTTCTTTTTTTTTTAGTGGTGATTGACGGACGGTGCGGTGGAGGTGTGCGATGGTTGGAACGGATATCTCTGGTTGGTGCGGTGGTGGTTGGGTGAGTGGATATGGTTGTTGTCTGCTGATGGTGGATCTAGATTTGGTGGCTGTGCTGTGGAGATGAGGTGGTGGCGGAGATGGTGGATCTGGTTGCGATTTTTGTGTAGTGGTGCAGGTGGATGTGTTGATGATGGTGGCGGCATCACTGGTTGTGGTTGGCGGTGGTGGGGTGCTTTGGAGTAGCAAGATGAGGCT